AACCCTGAAGCTTAGAGAGTGCAACAGAACTGGGAGGTAGCAGAACTATACAGCGCAGTTTGTTGTACAGGTTTGAAACAGGTCAGAATATCTACCAAGAACTGAAAGACGCTGGCGGCAGGGAGGCACCGCAGGAAGAGCGCTAGAACTGGGGTCTAGGTCGTCGCACGTCGCCTAGTATTTTCTTCAGTAGCAAACCCTAATTCCGAAGTCCAATTTGCTTAAAGGAGGAGAGATTTTCTTCTCCTTGAAACTTTTTGTGGACTACAGGAAAAGTGCACCCAAACTAGGGTGAAATTGGGAAAGTATGGTTATTCTGCATGGTCGGCAGATTCCGGACAGAGGGTGTGATACCAACGGTCTGTGAGGGTTTCCTTTTCAGGGAAAACTCCTCACCAGTATCCTCCCCTCACGGAACTTCAACAGAAGGAACTTCCACCAGTGCCTCGAGGTGAACTCTAGTTCCACCTCAGCATCCCGAATCTTCAGTGGCTGAGAGCGCCCAGGATCCCAGGCACTTGTTCGTGTAACGGCACACCCTGCACACGCCACGCTGCGGCCATCGCGCACACCTGCCGACCAGTCTGCGCGCTCGGTGAGCCCGTCGGAGCGCTGCCCATTCTGCACGCCCTCGCTCGGTGCCCCCATGCGGCCCTTACCTCAGCTCGCCCTCGCGGCCCACGTCGATGGGTCCGTCGGACTCGCCGTCCGAACTGCTCGGCTCCCTGGGCCGCTTCATGGTGATCTCCGACTGCCCGGGTCTCAGCCCCACCGCACAGGCTCCGAGTAGCCAAATCAGGCCCCGCCCCGGCCTGCCCGGCCCCGCCCCGGCCCCGCCCCGGGTGCGCCGCCACCGCCCTTTCCCAGGGCCCTTTCCTGCGCCGCAGCCCGGGGCGCCCCGGCGCCCCCTCGCCCCCGCGGTGACGCGCTGCCTAGCCGTGGGAAGGCCCTGGGCGGTCACCGCCCCCATGGACGGCTGGGAGGTCCGGCTTGCTACGCCGTCTAAGGCCTCCACGCGCTGGGTGGCCTTGGGTAGGTGCCCTGGGAGGCCCCGCTGGGAATCTGGGGTCCCCGTCTATCCTGGTTTGTTGTGGGCGCCGCTGGCCAGTGAAGGCGCCGCTCCGATGCCCCAGCTTTTGCAGGGGTCTAGCATGCGCGTGTTCCTGCCTCTTGGAGTTCTGAAGGCGTCAAATACATCAGGCTTGTCTGGGTTGGTGCGGTGGCTGTGGAGCCCAGCTGCTCCTCCGACAAGGGCCTAAAGGGTGGTGGTCACCCCTGAAGGAATGCATGACGTGTATGACGTGCTACAGGACCTGAGAAGGTGGGGCCCGGGCCAAGGTCTCAGGGCTGACTTGGGGATGGAAATCAGTTCCCAGTTCAGTAGAGGTGGAGCTATTCTAGGAGCCCAAGAGGGCAGGAAAGGGCTCTTTCCGGAAGCTATGGCAGGGCTTCAGAGCAGGGGAGGGGAGAGGAAAGGAAGACACCCTCTATCCTTTCTTTCTGGAGCTCCCTGGTTCTGACAGCAGACCAAACTGTTCACTCAATGAGTGCTCTGGCTGCCCTACCCCTGGGGATGGAAATTCTTTGAAAATCCTCAGAGATTCACCTGCCATCCTCATAGGCCAGTCCCTCAGGGAAGCTGCCAAGGCTCAGAAGAAAGCTGAATGAGAGCATCCTGAAGGTGGACTTCTTGGGAGGGAGGAGGAGATGGTGAAGGAAGCCTTCAGAGAAGTCTCTCCCCTTTATCCCGGCCACCAGGACGAGCTCAGAGAAGCTACCCATTCAAGGAGGCTGGTGATCTAAAAACATTCATCCTTATGGCAAGAACTGCTTGGAGACACTTGATTACTTGGTGGGAAAGAACATTCCTGTTCCCCCCTCCATAACATCCACAGACACAGCCACTTGACTAAGTACACACACACAGAGATTTACAGATACACCCTGACAGGATACACATAACTGTCACAAGTAGTCAGTACCAGGAAGCCCTGGGGGTCACCCCAGCCACACCTACGAACTATCCTATTTCAGATGCCCTCAGCACTCACATAATTTCAGTGGGCACACGCCAGTGCAGTGGAAACATAACCAACACAAAAGTTGTGCAATCCGTGCACCCTGCATTCCCTGGAAAGGCAGGCATGAAGGAAGATGCCTGCCCTGTGGATTCTAGGATGGTGGCAGCTCTCCCGTCCCCTACTCACTAGATGCTAGTAGTACCTGCTCCAGCCATGACCATAAAAAATATCTCCAGGTCAGGTGCAGTGGCTCATTCCTATAATCTTAGCACTTTGGGAGGCTAAGGTGAAAGAATTGCTTGAGGCCTGGAGTTCAAGACCAGACCAAGCACCACAGTAAGACTCCATCTCCACAAAAAGTTAAAAAAAGAAAATTAGCTGGATGAGGTGGCATATACCTGTAGTCCCAGCTACTCAGAAGGCGGAGACAGGACCATCACTTGAGCCCAGGAGTTTGAGGTTGCTATGAGCTATGATGACACCACTGTACTCTAGCTTGGGCAACAGCGCAAGATGCTGTCTCAAAACAAAAATGAAAACTAAAAATTCCAAGTAATACCAAATGATGTCCTTTGGGAGAGAAATCACTCTCCATTGAGAACCACTGGTCTGGAGAAACTCCAAGATTTAAAGGTTGGGTAGAAGAGAAAGTGCGGCTAGAGAAGACGGAAAAAGAACAGCCAGTAAGTTGGGGGTAGGGGTGGGTGGAAGAGCCAGGAAGGGGTGTGGCAGGAGCCAAAGGAGTTTTCCAGGACTTGGTCATGATCCTTTAAAATGCCAGTCAGATCATCATGTCACTTCCTGCTCAAAACTATCCATAGGTTTCACATCCCATTTGGAATAGAATGCCAGCAGCTTACCATGGTTTATATATAGGTGACTATATATATTTAGTATCTAAACCCAGCACCTTCGAGAGTCAAAGGAGGCAGTGCTAATAATTATGCTGGGACAGTCCGGGGCACATGTACGCTCTGACCCTGGCCCTCTTCATCCCTAACCACTTTCTGTCTTACTCAGCCACCATACTTCCTGTTCCGGGCTTTGCATTTGCTTTTCTTTCTGCCCGCATTCTCTTCTCCCAGATCATCTCAAATTCTCTCTCTCCATTCTGGTCTTTACTCAAATGTCATAACGTCAGAGAGGACACTCCTGACCGCTTCTCTGGACTAGTCATCAATTTCCCAGTCACTGGGTGTCTCCACCTATCTTTATCTTAGTTCACTGCATTTACTAACATCATTAACGTTATGTTATATGTACTGCTGTATGTTTACTGTCCATGTTCCCATGAGAAAAAGAAGGTACACTCATTGAGGGCAGGGATTTGTCTCTTCTGTTCCCTCCAGTGCCTAGACCAGTGCCTGGCATGTGAAAGGTGGCAGAAAAGATTCACAGGAAAATAAACTAGAAAATGTGGAGCCCAGGGTTCATTTGCTTTTGCTTTTTTTTTTTTTTTTCTTTGTTTGTTTTTTTGAGACAGAGCCTTAAGCTGTTGCCCTGGGTAGAGTGTTGTGCCATCACAGCTCACAGCAACCTCCAACTCCTGGGCTCAAGGGATTCTCCTGCCTCAGCCTCCCAAATAGCTGGGACTACAGGCGCCTGCCACAATGCCCAGCTATTTTTTGGTTGCAGCTGTCATTGTCGTTTGGCAGGCCCTGGCTGGATTCAAACTGGCCAGCTCAGGTGTATGTGGCTGGAGCCTTAGCCACTTGAGCCACAGGTGCTGAGCCACTTTTGTTTGGTTTTAAGATGGGAGAGAGTTGGGCATGGGTCAAGTAGAAGGAAATGCTCACTCCATAGGACCTTTATAGAAAGGCTTCAACCTTGACTGTAAGTTCTTGGAGGTAAGAATCATTTTTATGGTTTATTATTATGTATTTTAGTGCCTAGCACATAGAAGGCATTCTAGAATATTTGTAAAATAAATAATAATAATGAAAATAGGCTCGGCACCCGTAGCACAGTGGTTATGGTGCCAGCCACCTACACCAAGACTGGAGGGTTCAAACCCAGCCCCGGCCAGCTAAACAACAATGACAGCTGCAACAGAAAATAGCCAGGCATTGTGGTGGGCACCTGTAGTCCCAGCTGCTTGGGAGGCTGAGGCAAGAGAATTGCTTAAGCTCATTGCTGTGGAGGTTGCTGTGAGCTATGTTGCTATGGCACTCAACCAAGGGTGACATAGTAAGACTCTGTCTCTAAAAAATAATGATGATGATGATGAAAACAGATTTTTATTGCATTTCACAGGTGCTAGGCATTGTGCTAAGTATTTTGCTGCATATTAACTCATTTAAACCTCACAGCAACTCTAAGAGAAGTTACTATTATTATTATCCTATTTTACTGAGATACAGGGAAGTTAAGTAATTTACCCAACATCGCACAGCTAGTAAGCGGTAGAAATGAATTCTAACCAGGGAGGCTGGCACCAGAATCCATGCTGGTAACCACTGCATCATGCATTAGGGTGGCCGGGCAGTAAGAACTGGATTAGTGGGGAAGAAGAAGAGGCAACAGATCCGAGTGATGTTGGGTTCCTGTCTGGGTGACTAAATGGGTAAAGGTGACAGGCACCAATGGGAAACACTGGAGAAGGTAAGGAGTTCAGTATGGCCATGCTGTTTGTGAGACCCAGGGGACACCCAGGAGGAGAACCCAAAGATAGATCTGGACTAGAGTAGGGATCTAGGGGCTGGTAGATGAAGACATGGGGCGCATGAGATGTCTGTCCCAAGGAATAAGGGCAAGGCAAGTAGGGGGGAAAACCTAGGCTAGGACCCTGGGAAACAACAGCCAAAGAATCTCTGGAAAGGAGGAGGAGAGTCAGGCAAGAAGGGAGCACCAGGGGTCAATGTAAGGAGAGCCAGAAAAGGGCCTGTCACCAGTCCAGGGGCTCTAAGAGGAAGCCATGCCACCAGGTCACAGAGGCCTTAGCATGAATGGAGGAGGCAGAGGCAAGGGCAGGACTCAATGGGCCTGGAAGTGTCTGGTGGGAGGATACAGAAGCACATTTAGAAAAGGGCAGGCCAACGAGAGAGGGCACCCCGGGCAACTTGGGCCAGCAGGGCCTCAGGAGGAATTTGCTGGCTGCTGAAGTCGGAAGTAGGCAGAAGCATGAGCCCTAGGGGGACTCAGCCCCAAGCCAAAGGGAGGAAGGCAAAGAGAGAACCTCTCTCCTCTGCTCTCCTCCAGTCCCCCTGCCCTGAAGCTGACTGAGCAGATTTTCAGGGGCAGGTTTCAGCTCCAGGGAGACTTACTCCATCCCTGCCGGCCAGCCCATCTTCTCTTGGGGCTGGTATTCAAATTACTGAACCCACACAGCCTGGGCTCCAAATACTTGGCTTGCATTGGGACCACATGCTGGAATAGGACTCTAGAGACCCTGGCTGGGCCAGGCACTGGCTGCTAGTCGCTGCATGGTGGAGGCTTTCAGAGGATGACTGACACAGAGAAGCTCAGGCTAGTGGTTAGTAGTTATTAATTCTGCAATAATTTGTCTGTGTCCTGGACTGGACTATAGGCCCCACAAAAGCATGAACTATGTGGGTTTGTTCATTGTCATCTCCCCTGTGCCTACAGTGTCTGGCACAAGGTGGGTGTTGGGTTGATGCTGGCAAAGTGTTTAGGGATGGGGGAGGAGCTCCTGAAGGCCTCCACCTTGTCTGGGAAGAAGGTGGTGTCTGGCCTCTGGAAAAATGATAGAGTCACAACAGGGACTTTCCTGGC